CAGGGCACTCGACTCGACATGCGTTGTTGGTTTCCTCCCACTCTGAACTTCTTGCATAAAGGCCACAAGGCATCAGCATCAGCATGCATCAGCCATATCTGGGCTTTCCTTTAGCGCCAGGAGGTGACACCAGGGAGCCAGCCTCAGGCTGCACTCGCGATTGGCGGATCTGCTTCTGACTGCGTGCATTCTTGAGATTGCCCATCTAAGGGTTTGGCCCGGTGAAAGTCGAAGACTTCGGAGCTTGATGCCAATTGAGGCCACTCCTGCACAGCTTCGCGCAGTGCGGGCTCTGGAAAAGCAGACCACAATGCCCGTAGCTTAGACAAATGGACGCGTGTTTTGTTGTCGAGCCGATGTCCTGAAGCAGCTCTCAGAAGTCGAAACGATTTGCTCATGATTTTGGATTGTCGGATGCAGCATCTTCGAAAAGGAGCGCGAGTCATAATGCGTACGCACCCTTCAATGCAGCTGCACCTTGTGAACTCGGTTGATATGTACCCAGGACCGTTTACGCTAAGCGAAAATGCATTCGACGCGACAGGTTGGAGAGAACGAACAAAGAGCCGCACTCTGAGAATGGACTCCAGCAGACATGATAGGATCGAGGTGGCTAGAAGTTCATGACGGGTCATACCCAGGTGAGCATGTGGCCAAGACATGTAAAAGCGCGTGCTAGACGCTGGTTCGTCAAGTGAGTCCCATGGATGCAGAGACACTGCAAGCTATGGTCACAGCCAGGTGCAGCCAGTGTGAAAGGTACGACTTGACACCGCCCCGTCTCCCGAAATGGTCGGGAGAAGGTTGAGCAAGACATCACTGAAGCTCCGGCTAGTCTCTGGTCTTTAGGCCCTTTATGCAGTTTCAGGCAAACCGCCGTACTTCCAAAATCAGCTAGAATCATGTCGCAGGGAGTGGAGCATGTGCGGCCGTGGGAAGTCGGGCCTGGTATAGAATTTAAGCTCGCGTGGATCAGGTGGACGACCTCGCTTCAAGGCGCGAGCGAGGAGCTTCCATAGCGCGTATATGATTGTTTGTGGCGCTGTCATGTGCAGGATGCTGCTGACCTGACCCGTGTTCACTTGCGGTGGTGTGTCTTTTCTGGAGGATGTGGGAGTTCTCATCAACGGCGAGTATGCCAGGTTGGCTGTAGCAGTAGTCAGCAGTCGCCGGGTCTGAGGACAGGCCAGACCGGAGTGTCAGTATTCCGTCTGTCTGCACCGTGTAGTGCTCCAGAATACTACCAACAGTTCGAGCATCTCAACGTCGTTAGCTGAGGTGAATGAACTTAGTTTTAGGTTCACCAACATTCCAAGTTGGAATGTTGGCGTGGTGCTTGCAGCGGTGGCGGTAACTGTCGTAATGGTGGTATTTGGGTGGTGGGTGGTGGGGAGTGTCAGGGGTTGATGGTGTGGGTACTTGTAGCTCGTTGTTGTGCCGCTGCTGGTGCTGGTGCTAATGGCGGTGGCAGTCGTGGTGGTTGTCGAGTTTGCCGCGTTTGTAAGGGAAGCCATGGGAAGCCCACAGCCACCCAGTGTTTCAAAGATATTACATTGACTGCCCCTGAACGCCTTGAAGTATGCTTCAGGCATGTGTACTCTGGTCAACGGCTGGGGTCGGACTGACTTGACTTTAGCTGATGGTAACCTGGGCAGGGACAGTCTGGGACAGGCAGGCAGTGGGCTTTGGTCAGCGGACAGCACTGAGTCACACATGGACGGACGCAGGTCGCACGGGTACATTAAAACTGGGCCTCACGTGGATGCCTTCGTCAACGGCTAGGGCTAGGGTGGCAACGGCTAGTGTTTGACAGGACGTTTAGAGCTGTTTTTGCACGGGTTGGCGAACACCGTGAAGTCCCGACGTAATCCGCATTGGCGGAACAAAGTATACAGCGTTGGCATGTAACATGACTTGTTTCACTTGCAACACCGCAGGCATGGAAAAAACGGGCATCAAAGTCATGACGTGGAGGACGAGGTGTGCCAGCTGCATTTGTAAGAAAGAGGAGCGAGCAGCTGTCCTCCTAATCTCGCAGCCACGGCATTGTGTTGGTACTGCCTGCTCTGCACATGCACATATCTCTTACGGAAGTCGAGATCTAGAGTAGTATGGTGCCACAGTGTGCATCGTGACAATCAGGTATGAGAGTACCGGAACCTGTACAAAGTGCCAACATGTACCAAAAGTCATCCTAGAGTTCGGTGGAACGATCTTGGATGAGCATGTTTCTCAGAACGGAGGTCCCGACATCACCAGCAGCGCGAGGGCAAGTAATGGTGACTGTGCTTCGACGGACAGAGCCTGGGCTGTGGAGACAGGATGAGACAGGCCTGGATGGCTCTCGAAATTTGCGTTCTACCGTACTCTAGCGCTGTCTTCCGCTTTCCTTTTCACGTCCAGTCCCTAAGCAGAAGCTGTTCTGAGAGTTAGTTGATTGTCTCAGTCGCTGTACGTCTAGACTAAGGAAGGACGCTTGGAGAGGCGTGGCCGCGTTTTGACTTCTTTTGCCTCGGGCAAGAGCCCAACGTTCTGACGGCTGCAGTTTAGTCTTGTGGACACGAATGACCTGCAAGTGAGTGGTGCAAGAACAATCTGCTCGGAGGCTCCACGAGCGCCTTCTGCGTCTTCTGCCTTCATCCGAGGCCCAGATCCCAGGCGTACCAGGCGCACATGTGCACAACGAGCAGACGTACGTGTCCAGTGCTTCATGGTCCGACTGATCGCATCATTCACTCACAAGCTCCAAAGCAAAGGACAACTTCAGGCAGGGGCCCCTTGGCTGCATTTACCAACACCGGAAAGTGCAGGATGGAGGCACCTGCTGAGTCTGCTGACTTTGTGTTCGCGTTGCTAAAAGGAGGCTTCCCTTCACAAGTGTGATGCCTTCGTTGTGCTCTTAAAAGAAGCGGGTGGGCTTTTTCCACAAGGGGACTCCAACCGCGAGATGCAGGGGAGAGCAGGCGCAGCAAGGCGCAATCCACTGCACAGACACGTCCTTCACGAAGGCTTTCAGAGCTTCGGCATCGAGCCAAGGTCTTTGTCTCAGACGACAGGCTGGTAGGAAACGTTGCTGTGATCACAGCACGGCATGGAGCATCCACCACTTCGACAAGCACGGCGAAGCTATGCTCGCAGGAACAGACATCATGGAAAGGCGTAGTTTGAGTACCTCTTGTATCCTCTTGTTGAGCCACCTTCAAGTCGCTCCTCCGAGACAAGCAGGTCATCCTCTCCATCAAAACCCCTGTTCCGGTTTGTTCCTGTTGTGCTGTGCACACAGCCAGAGCAGCCTTCCGTACGATAATGAAAGGGCGTTTGTGCTGATCGCGCAGAGCCAGCTGCGAAATGTCTGCTCTGTGCCCAGTGCACTTGCTGCAGGGCGAATGTGTGACAAAGACTTATCTTCTGGTGTGTCCGCACTGTTGTAACTGTCTGTTCAAAGCATGTGTGTGGCGCGTCCACACTTTGGCCGCCACAAGTGTTCGACGAAATTCGGGCATCCGGGACCAGCGCGGCTTTTCAATGGAGGAATGATTGCAGTCTGAAGTCGATTCTAACCCATCGCAACGGAAGTTGTAAGATTCAGCAGCGGCCTAAAGTTACCGTGGAGCATGAACGAACGGCGATTGCCTTGGCTATGCTTCACTCCTCTGACATATGCGCCAAAAAGCCCTGAAGCAACTGGAAGGTCAATCATGCAGACTTCGTGTTCTACATGAGATAAGCATCGGATTTTTGAGCCACAAACCCCTAAGCAGCGTTATTTTGGGGCGGCACATGGCTCCGTCTTCCATGACACGTCACTGACACGCGTCAGTGCTGTATTGCAGATACAGTGATAGACAGCCGAGAAAGCCTTCCACTGGCTTTGCTAAGCAGTGGTGGAACATGTCTAATGGGTGGAGTCGCTGGTAGTGAGATCCTGTCTTCTGTCCGATTTTGAACATGAGGGCCGATTGCATGCATGGATCGGCTTAGATGTCACCACGAAGTACTCTGAATACAAAGACGGATGTCTCTCACAGACCCTGAAGTTGAAAACTCGACCACGTAGTCTGCAAGGAAAGACCTGGCAGCACATCGCCATGTTTCACCTGATAATGCAGCTTCTGTGTTTGACCACGAAAAAGACCCTGTTTTGCCTGTGCCGTTGCAGCTGCACGCTACTGTCACTGGCAATCCGGCAACCGGCTGCAGCCTGCTTGCATCAATGTTGCTGTTTTACCGCTCTCTCCTAGCTTTATACACGAGCAGCACGATGACAGCCGCATGCAGATAGCCGTAATTGCAGGTGCTAGAATCATGTATCTGTACATCCTACACAGGAATCATGGGAATAGAACGCACTTGTGACCTTGCACTACCCTGCAGTCTGCAGCATGTGGAAAGCTTGCAGAGCTTCGACCGCGAGCCGCGGCACCGAGTCAACATGAGATGTTCTGGCGGGACTCTTTGGGCCGCTTCCTACTTTTTCTCTCCTTTTCCCGTTGTTGCGAACAAGGCCTCCAAGCCTCCCAGGCCTGCCACCGCTGGAAATTCCTGATTTTAGGGCCCCCCGAAAACTTGGGAAAGGTGGGGCCGTCGTGTGGGCGTTTTTTGGCGGGACCGCAGCCACGATTCGCAGCACTAGTGCACAGCCGTCCCGTGACCTGCACCCACTTGAGCCATTTTTCCCAATGCACGGATCTGTTTCAGGCCAAATTTGATGCACAATTGCACATGCAGATGTATGGCTGTTACACCTCAGCTGTGCTGCGTTCTACAAGAGTTCCTTAAGCTCCGCCCTTCAAAGTACCTTTTACTCCAAATTAAAGGCCTTGGTTCGACCGAGGCCATTCATCGGCCGACCTTTGAACATGCCAGATGTTCAACAAAGGGCAGCATTTCCAGTCCCATTCACAAAGTGCCAGACTCGCGCCGACCGAGGTGCCGAGAAGCGGCGCTATGTGCACAGCGCAGCCTTAGGATTCGTCGGCTTGGGCAAGATCGGAAGCGGTATGGTCACGAATTTGACGAAGGCCGCTCAAGTCAAAAGACAGGTTACAGCATGTTACAGCGAGACATTGCTGTGTGGAAGAAGTACTTTCCTCAGTAGGCCGACAGGCCGACTTCCACATCGTGCACCGCATGCCCATGCCACAGTCGTCAGTCATCTCCTTGTCAGCTTCAGCTCGGTCCCGCCTGCAGAACTTGTGATGTCCGGTGTCTGCATGATAGATATTGCTTGGGATTGTACGGACTGAAACCTGTAGCAACCTGCAGTGCAGATCAATGCAGGCCGGGGAGTCGCTTATTATCTTTGACAAAAGCCATGCAGCCGCAGAGGCGGTGGCAGGTCGCCGGACGCATGCACATGCAGCATGTTGAATTGCAACTCCTGTAGGTTCGGGATGGATGTTGGTGGGGTTTAGTCATTAGACCGTCTAGCTTCATGTACTCGCTGGCTGGAGGTGGGTAGGTGGTTGGATGGCTGGGCTTGTGCTGTGCGATCAACTCTAGAGACGAGATGAGACGAGACAGCGTTGTGTGGATGCTTTGTCAGCCTGCCAATCCTCATTAACTGTGCCCAACAGATTGCTTGCGTCTTGGAGGCGAAGCGGTCAGAGCAGCAACAAGTGTGGCAGAGGCCTTGCACTGACGGTGCAAGTGATATCGAGTCAGCGTCAGTCTCCTCAAGTCGACTTGCAGAAGGACTGGTATCGTGAAGCCACGGGTTGTTTACAGTTGGCTGGCCTAGCCTAGCAGGCCTAACGTCCTGGAGATTTTGCACTGCAGGCGCACGCCAAATTGGCGTTTATCGAAATTCTGTTCATTGTCGACACTTCATGTACTGTTACGGTAGAGTGGTTGGAGAAGATCACCGCCTCAAGGAAAAGAGGTGGTTGAGGTAAGAGATCAGTTGCGGTGTTGTGCTTTGGGTGATGGGTTCGCACACGTAGCCAATGCCCCGAAATGGTGAAACAGTTTGGGAGTTCGGCTTGCAGCATTTTACCCGCCAGCATTGCCGAAATAAATGGTCAAGAATCAGGAAGCTGCAGGGCGGTCTGAACAGACAAAGGAAACCAGTGCTGAAAGAGACCACCGGACCGATTTGGTGTCGACATTCCTTCCACTTCCTGCATGTCAGATTACTCAGAAAGGAGGACGGGTGCTGGACCGAGCAGTGCTGGAGCATTGCTTGCACAGTGGCAAGGCCTCACCAGCTGAAGTTCTTCAACGTGGAGGATTCCGAAGTACATGGTGTTGTTCAGCAATTGTTCCAAGGCTGACCGAAGGAACTAAAGTTGGAAAGATTTGGAAAGACATGATGCACTGCATGAGCTGCACAAGATTGCTTGGAGAGGCAAATGCCTGAAGATACAAGGCCTGGATCGATGAAGCAACTGGTTGCGAAGTGCGAACACGAGAGTCCCGCCCAGCAAGCCTCGAACTTGCGACCGTTGTCAGTGCCTTCGAAGAGGGTCGGATCTCGCGTGTCATATTGGACCGAGTGTGCACGTGAGGCAAAACAACAAACCCATTTGCCTACATATGAAGCATGCAGCATGCGTGCCTGCACTCTGCATGGATCCCGACGTTCCATTGAAATGAAGGAAGACTAATGTACCGTCTCAAACGAAGCTAACACGACGACGGGCTGAAGGACATGGCAGGCGGCTAAGTCTGCCAATGCGTCGGAGTCACGCTGTAGCATGCTGTAGCCCTTGAGGGAGGACTTCAGTTTGCTTTTTCTGCATGTTTTTGCTCTACATGGAAAGGCATTCACCGGTGAAATTGCCATTCCTTCTACTCGTAGAAGTTTCAACTTGGTTTGCCAGCAAGCTCCATTTGGCGGACGAAGCCCCGACTGAGACAAGAACAGTAGGCAAAATATGGCAAAATGTCGTTCAAAACTAGTTTGGGACGCGGTAGCAAGACCTGAAGGTTGCTCAGAATGCGGAGGTGGTCTTCTCTGCATTGCCAGACGACAACGCACCTTGGCGGACCATCTCGTTGTGCTTCGCTACTGAGCTACAGCTGTTTGCACTCGTAGCTCCCAGGTGCTGCAGGCAGTATCTTCGGAGCTTCTGCCGGCTTTGGCAGCTCGAGGCGGTCGCTTCAGCCTCAGGACGAGGGAAGTGATGTGCAAACCAAGTCAACCAACCGGGACGGCAAGTGGTGTCAGTGCTGCAACAGTTCCAGCTTTTCTCCAGTCATGCTGAAGCTGCGCTTGTCGCATGGAGATGACTCCAGCTCGGCTGTTTGTCAAATGTTCAACTGGATGCCGTAGTTTGGAAACGCCGCAGGTTCAACAGGATGTCTGGTCGTCAGCCATGAGTAGTTTTCCACAGGCAGCCAGGTCGTTGTGGAGGTCCTTACAAAATGTTCATTGCCCGGTGAATCGAGAACCGCTAAGGCTTTAAGGTCAACTTGCTTTGGGGATAACTCTACTACGACTTGGGCAAGGGACTGTGGCACTTGGGTCTACGGTTTAGGGTTTAGGGTTTTCGCTGCGAGTGGGCTTTCGACCCCTCTACCCACCCAACCCCCTATCAATCAAGTGGGATTATATGGCTTGAAGACAAGTTTTTGCAGCTGTGAATCCAAATGAGAACAAAAGTCAAGCCAAATTTACAAACTGCTCATTGGACATTGAAGGCTTCCTCTCTTCCTCTCAGGAGTTGGTGAGAACACGGATCCAATCACATCTGTGGGTTCTTTAAGATTAAAATGCTTGAACATTGTAAGTTCCAAACACCGAAACCTTAGTAAACCACGACGGCCAATTCTCTTGCAATGAAGGTTGACGTGGCGGGCTCGAGTCGATTCCATTCTTGGGTTTGCTCAACTTGAGTCCAACCAGAAAGCGGGTGAAATCGTTAGGCTTCGTGTCCTGATTTTTTGGCTCCAGCCCTTAAGCTTTGGGTTCCGGTCCTAAGTTTTAGAGTCCGGGTCCTTGTTTAAGGCAGCGGGTCCGTTATTTTAGCCCCGGTCCTTAGATTTCAGGTTCCGGTCCTTAATTTTAAGCTCCGAGTCCTTAATTGAGGCTCCCCGTCCGTAATTTAAACCCTCTTAATTGCACGGTTCTGAGTGTTAAGTTCCGGGTCCTTCAGCTTGTTTGGGCTCCGGCCCGAAATTTTAGGTTCCGGTCTTTAGTGGATTTTAGTGGTGTCCCCAGTGACAAAGGCGGCCTGCTCGACGCTGGGGAGGGCCCATCTTCAGTTTATGGTTTGGGGGGTTGGCAGGTGTTGAACCAAGCGCACAAAGTGACCCTGGTCTCTTATGGTCTCTTGCCCAAAACGTGGCGTTTTCATCAACGCAAGTTGGCCACCATGATCACTTGCCCAAGTCGCTGCATCGCATGCAGCGCCAAGCGACCCAAGTGGACCAAGCGGCAGCACTCAGCTAGCGGTTCGCGTTCCCCCGCACAGTGGGGATTACTGAATATGCCTTTTTTTACTACGGGCTTAAGTCTTGCAGTTGCTCATAGTTGCGCGTTCGGTATGCACCGGTGCGCCTAGCGATAATCACTCATACAGTCGCCTTCCATGACACGGAAACTCCTGACATGCTTCAGTTGTGTGCTGCACTTTGGTATGCTGATGCCCAGAAAGACTGCGATGACCCTGCACGCAGTGCCAGCTAGGCCCGATTCATGTTTCTTGCTCGACCGTGTCGCCGAGCATTTCACGATCCTTGTCTGAGGCCACGGCATGTGTGTGTGTGTAGAGGTAGGTAGGTAGGTAGGTAGGTAGGTAGGTAGGTAGGCCTGCGCATAACGTGCCAAGTACACTTTGGGATTCTTGAATCAAAGAAGCATGGTAGAGCAGGGCTTCGCAGGGCGTTCTAGTTCCCTCGAGTCGTGTAAATTGACACAATCTGCCATGGTTGGTAGTAAATGGTTATGGTAAGTGTGCGTTGGGGCTCGGAAGCCAGAGGGAGCCAGAGATGATGAAGTGAGATTGGTGAACACTCCGCAAGGCGTATGAAGCCAGAGCCGTGGGCTTCGTGTCCGCTCCCGTCTTCGCACGTTCGGGCGTAAGTGATTGCTTGTGGCACGATCTTGCTACCCTGGGCTTTAGCTGCGGAGTAGTTGCAATCTGGCAAGATCCCTGCTTCGCTCACCAGTTTTTGTACGGATGCATGTAACGGTAGTGTTCTCCATTCGCCCAGATGAGGTCCTGATGGAATGCGACGTGGTGAAGCGACATTCCCGGCTCGCACCTTTGCAGGTGTTGTAAATGCCGCTAAATCAGGCTTGAGAACATCCCTAGAAGATCTTTGCAAGCTCGGCCGTGCCGTGAAGGTGAGCGGACCAGACTGGGCGAAGAGCAGGGTGGCCCATGCCTCACCACTGAAGTTTGCACGTGGACCAGAGAATCTGAGCAAACACGCACTGCAGGGCAAGCAGAGTTTGGCAGAGTTTGCATGTGCACGTTCTTTCTGGGCTCGAAGAGGCCCGGCATGTCTCGGCATGAGCTCGAGGGCGCGCATATGCGCGCGTACAGTGGCTACTAGTGACAGCTTTGTCCGACTTCTGATGGGGGTGGAGTTGGCAGAACTGGCGATGCCGCCGAAAGAAGCTGTAAGATTGGAAGGCGTCACCGAGGAAGCCTGATCAGGGCCAGCCTGCACCCAGGCCGACGGCGGGTGGCCATAACGGCGAGCGAGAGCCAAGCATCGAAGAAGGCCACTGGCCGGCAGCTCCAGCGCCGATCGAGCGTGCATGTCGCGTCTGCCTTGGATCACTGCACCACCGGTGCATTGGAAGAGCACATTGTTCCAAGACTCTTCGCTTTCCGCATGGGCAATTTGTATTGCTAGAAAATGCTAGAAATATGCAGCTGGTTTTAGTCAACGTGTCGACAAACTTCCATGAAGAACAGCGTTGTAAAAGGATTCCTGGGCACCATCTGTGCATGCATAGGTTCAAGAAGTGGACTAGCCACCCAAAAATACCCAAAGTAATCTTGCAGCATCTTGCAGCAAATCAATCACAAAGGATTCCTTATCGGCCCATCAGTAAGACATGTAAGGCACATTAAGGCACTCAGTAAAAGGAGTTGGCCAAGACAGGATGCATTCCTCACAGACATGTCTGTGGCAAAGTGTTGCACAAAATCCCATAGCTATTGTTGTAGTTTGGTAGAGCTTGCAGAAAACTCTCTGAAAGAATACCTTTATATTATACGAAGGTTAGCAGGTGAGTTTCGACTGCATGCCGACAAAGCCACGAGAATCATCCCTTGGTGTAAGCGCAGCCTGATAGCATGACGTCAAGCACAGTGAGAGAGTCTTTCCTCTGTAAAATTTCGGTTGCTGACTGGCCAGAGGCGGGGATGCCATATGCACGGAAGCTGTCGCGTGATGACAAAAAGGCCAAATGAGGAATGATCCGAGAGGAATTTGGCGGTGGGTTTGCCTCAGAAGATGCCCCGCGGGTCCAAGGGCCTATTCAGATCGGTCACTTTTGTCGAGCGTGCCACATCATGCTATCATCTTTGCACCTGGCTGCGCACATGTTGGCCAGGCGACGGGAAAGTAGTCTGAGGGGACCGGGAGTGGATGTGAGTGCTGCATGTCCGGGTTGATGCGCACCGTCTCTTGTTCGATGCATCCTGCGAGGGTCAGCCACCATCACGGCATACGTGCCGTGCTCCGCCTCCGTGGTAAAACCTCCAAGCTGTTTCTTGATTGTTGTCTTTGGAAAAGGACAGTCACCAACCGAAAACATAATCAGATATCATCAGCTACAGTTACAGACATATAAGGATACAGCAGGTTTGGTTCAGCTCGAACCCGGTGAAGAAAAGGCTGCCCACTTAGAGCTGGTTTCTCACAGCCGTGTCTTCTGTTTTGCAAGGTCCCCTTGCTGCAGAAGACTGCGCTAGGTGTTCATGATTTTGGCGAGGACCGTGTCGGCATGCCTGCTGGCCACGCACACGGTGGCCGAGACATGAGGAGAATAGGCTACAGTCCGTAAGTAGCAGCGAGTATGTGGTGAGTATGGAGTTCTTTTGTCAGGATATCATGCACGAGCCAGTGCAATTGTCAAAACTTGCAATGTTGTAGGTGCACTGTCCAGCAAGATACGTACACTTTGGTAACTTTAGTGTGTATAGATTTTGTTATGATTTGCACCAGGATGCTGGTGCAGCCAACGTGGCCGCGAACACAGTGCTTGAGCCGAGGAGTATGCGATGCAGCAATGCGTGGAGCATGAGCAAGACACTGGTCACTAGCAGAAGACAGCATTTTTGGTCTGAAAATCCAATGCTTCGGGTTGTCGATTGTTGGTTGCAAGAGGTTTCGCGGCAGTGTGCGAAAGGCGTTCACAGTTCTGTTTTTGTCGATAAACGTGCTGTGACACCTTTGCCGTTGCCCTATGTCATATGTTGAAGCCACCACAAATAGCTGACAGCCGAGTTTCTTCAGGTCAAGCTTGGGGGGAATTTCCTTATTGCTGCTGCGATTGAATCGATGGCGGAGGCGAAGATCCCCATGCATTCGTGCTTTGGAGCACGACATGAGCTTGTGTCCTCATTAATTTCATGTTCATTTGCATAGCGATGCAAGATAGGCCAGGAGTCAGGACAAATTAGAAGAGTTATCGTTGGATGGGCCTGTCATTGCAGAACTTGCCGCAGAATGTCTCCTTGAGCCATGCACTCGAAAGAATCAAAATGAGCTGGACCGTGAAACATGGAACAGCTCGCCCTTAGCGCGGCAGAGAGCATGGGATGAATTGGCGATAGAATCGCGATAGGGGCAGTAATAGATGAAGAGTGGGCTTCCGCCGGCCTCCTCCCAACTGCTGCCAGGCATCGGCACTGGCAGAGGGCTATGATGTCCAACACTTGGTTGAGGGAACCGGATGCACGTGACCACAGCAAGACGAAGTCCATTCTATGATGCTGCTTGCATGTAGCACGACGGTGCTTCAGTGATTCAGGTTGACCGGGAGAAATTCATGTCCCTGATGCCATCACCTCAGCTCCACGGCACAGCAGATTTGCAATAGCTTGTAGTGGCACTTATGCTATTCGCTGTCCAAAGAATGTTGCTGCTTTGTCAGATTTCTGATTTCTGTGTGCGTCCTCCTGCAGGTCCTCTACTATTTTCGACTGCTTGATTTACAAAGGATACGGAGCCACTGACATGTTTTCAGGTTTGGCCGCACAGGGTTCTTGCACGCGGTCGTGGCCGGGCGCAGATGAGTTGCAACGGAGCATAAGGGGTACATTTGGTTCATTGCATCTGCTATTGTGCTGAAGCGTGCTTGCACGCCTTTTGTTGCTTCTAAATGTTGTTGGGCCACGGAATTCTTAGCTGCACAGCAGACATGCCAGGTCATCGTGTAGCTGCCAGAGACCATCACCCTTACCCTGATGTGCTTCGGCGGCATTGTCTCTCTTCGAGCTCGCTCCGAAATTCTGAAGATAGAGCACACCGTTTATGCTGAGCCGGGTCGATAGGCGAGATCCTCTCTCACGTTCATAAGTCTTGCAAGTCGCCAAAAAAACATTGACGCCAGTTACTTGCCCCATGGCGATGCTATGTCCCTCTGTGATCTTGCACGTGCGAGGATTGTTTGCAACACCGAACATTTGTGTTAGCTTTCTTGTTGCCTCAGTTGGGTTTGGAACTCTTCACTGTGTCCCCCGTGGTGAGCAGCCACGCTGAGAGGAAACTGAGAGCGCCTTCTCACAATCTCTGGAGATTGCCAGTCTTTCGCAGGCCCATTTTGCACTGGACTTGGGCAGCAAGGACGTGCGCGATGTAGTTCTAAAGAGGGCTGGCTTCAGCCAGCTGATGGCTGCCAACCGTGAATAGAACTCTGGGTTTGCTGTACAGCAAGGCCAGGTTCGAGCTGCAAATTACCTGTCCAGGACGTTTCGCTTGTGCATCTCGCGGCTGCACAGGTGCACTGTGTTGAAAGTCGTCACACAAGTTTCGGTCGGCAATATGGTCAACCAAATGTTTTTTTCCAGGCACGCTGCCCCATGCCACTGGCTTCCCTCCTCCGTGATCGGTTCGTGGCATCGCAGAATGCAGGAAGAGGCTCCTTCAGCATTATGGCAAATCATTATGGCCGTGACATGTCACTCCGACTCCTCGACTGATCAGTCAACATCATGTGAGGCAAGCTTGATTGGTCGGCTGTGGCACTAAAGGCCTCAGAGGAGGCAGGCAGCAAACAGGCCTGCATGCAGTCTTGCAGCATATCTTGGAGACGCTGCATGGCAAGAAGGGCTCCCAAATAGGGTTCGGACGAGTTCGGATGGTACTAGTAACCGAAACATGCCCAAACTCACTGTCATCGTGCAGTCTGCACCAAAGATTTGACAGTCACATTGCCTCACTCCAGCAAGCCCGGTGTCAGCACGGGAGGTCGACAGAAGGTCTGCCTCGCTGCACTCGGGTGCTGTTTCAGCTGTCATTCTCTCTTCCATTTGGGCTAATGCGATCTCAGGCGAGAGACTCTGCAAGGAACCAAAGCTTATCACGTATCTTGAAGGCATAGGGGGGGGTGTCTGCAGCTGATCCATTGCAAAATCAGCAACTGGGCGCTGAATCCGAAACTACGCATCAGAATCTGCCGCGCATCAGAAACCGCCGCGCATCAGAAACTGCGCATCAGCAACGTGCGTGCATCAGCAACCAGCGCGCATCAGAAACTGCAGGCGCGTATCAGAAACTGGAGTTTGGAAGATGGCACAGGACCATGGGGGGGTGGGGCGGGGCATGGTAACGTCCATGGTCGAATGCATTCTGAGCACAAAGGATCCAAAGCCCAAAAGAGCATCCATGGCTCAACCATTCCATGGTCTGATGCTTTCTGACTCCGTGGGGGAGGGGGGCGAGGTGGGGGGGGATGATAACATCCATGGTCTAATGCAGTCTGCGCACAAAGCATCCAAGGCCCAATAGCGCGTCCATCGCCCAACCATGATATCCATGATACAATGGTCTGATGCATACTGACTGCATCATGGGGAGGGGGGTGGGGTGAGCGGGGGCATGATAACGTCCATGGTCTAATGCATTCTGAACGGGCTCAACTCAGCATCCATGGCAACCATGATACCATGGCCTCATGCAGTCTGACTCACTCCAAGTGGGCGGGATGATGACGTCCATGGTGTACTGCATTCTGAGCACAACGCATCCCGGGCCCAACAGAGCATCCATGGCCCAACCATGCTAACCATGGTGTGATGCATTCTGACTCCATGGGGGGGGACCTAAAACCAGATCCATTTGCCAGCTGAAACTGCATAATCTAAATTGTAGAGGCAAAGGGAAAGATACATAGCCCCCCACAAGGCTGTTCTCACATTTACTGAACACGGTCCGCTGCGGCGCATGGCTTGAGACTGACATGAATCGACATGTAAATCAAGCGAGCTGGGCACACCAATCATCTCAAGAAGATGCAGTCATATGCAGTTGAGGGAGAATTGATCAAGCATAAAATTGCCGGTCTACAAAGATTGCTTGATGACGACGTCGTGAAAAGACGAGCTGTGGCATTGGAGAGTGGCTCTACAACCTGTGAAAACCACTGCGGAGCCCTGCAAGGCCCTATGCCCAAGTGCAGACTGCGCGACTTGCTGTTGCAGGGGCTCATAGAGAGCCTGGTTATGCAGAAGTAGTTTCATGAAGTGGAAAAGCTCATGTGAAAAGCGGCATTGTGAATGTGTGTGCCTTGGCTGTAGGCCAAGAAACCCAGATACCCATCAGCTATTGCCGAAGTAATGCAGGCAAGCGGCTGTCTTACGAAACCATGTGTTCAGCTCGTGGCGCAAGCTCTCGTTGGAAGTGGCTCCGCTCGGCAGCAGAGGCATCTCACGTCGGTCGACCGAATGGCGATATCTGGCATCATTTATTAGCCATCGGAATTTAGTGGCACTGGCAACATTGGCGGTGAGACGATGGAGGGAGACGCCAGAGTAAGTCTCCTTCTGCAGCTCTTCCCAAAAAATGGATGCATGGGCGACGAGAGCTTCCAGAAAATCGACTTCGGTTAACCATGGCTCATCTGGATTGATGGCCTCCAGGATCGCCTTCGACGTCCTGTCGGACATGTCTGGATCAGCACGGCTTTTCATCTGGCATCTTGTGTTGCTGCGGGGGCGTTGGAGCCGTCAAAGAAACCACCCCAGGATGCTGCGGTCCGAAATGGGTGCCGTTTTCTGAATTTGGTCATGATGACGGCCAGCCAACTGCTGCCCGTGATGCGTTTGTTGTTGGTGTCCTGATCGTACGCCATAACCATAACAATATGCATAGCATCCAGCGAGAAACTCCGGAGGTTGGGAAGGACCTCCCTCACGGTGGCGAAGAGCTCGGCCGAGGGAGCATCCGACGCGACGTGCAGCACTTGCTGACGATTCGACATGATGCTTCTGCAAACGAGTCAGCAGATTCTTTCGACGATCGAACTGCCTCCGTGGACAGAGAGGGAGTACTGTGACTGGAACAACTTGCCTGAGTTGTGGTTCAGGTGCGTCCACAGCACCCGAGCAGCAGGCTCCAGCAGTGGGTCCGCCCACCTCGGGAGCACCACGGCTACGGGTGCTCTACCTTTTTTGCGGTTTTTGCGGTCACGCCCCGCAAGCTAGACATGACCTCGTGCCTGCAATGGCCTGCAACAGTTAGCCTCTGCACAGGCGCTGGACGCTACACTGGAGTGCGTGGACATCAAGCGCTCCGCAAAGCACGACCTCAGCTTACCCAAGGTCCGGCAAAGCTACATTGACAGGATCGCAGCTAAGGAGTTTGACGCCGTGCTGCTATCGCCACAGTGTGCTACCTTTTCCCGAGCTGCGTGGGCTAACTTTCGTGGTCCGCGACGTGTTCGCAGCTACCAAGAACCACGCGGGCTGCAGACGCTAACTCCCAAGGAACGCGATCGTGCTATCCTTGGCAACATCTTCGCGGACTTCGCCTTTGAGGTCGCTAGCCTGGTCCGATGGCGCAGCTACCTTCTTCGCGATGGAGCAGCCCGAACACCTGGGAGCGCTAGCGAATGGGTCACATGAGGGGCTCCGGCCCGCATCTATGTGGCAATGGCCGCAGCTAGCCGACCTTCTCCGGAAGGGGCTACGGACTGCGGCCTTTCACCAAGCCAGTTTTGGTACTCCCTACGCTGAACCCACACGCCTGCTGCTGCGGACATCGCTAGAGATGCCCGACTTTGTCTTTGAAGGGCTGCCAAGCTATGATGAAAAAGGCCGCTACACAGGGCCCCTGCCTTCTGCTAAGGAGCTACGTGGCATGTTTCATCAGCCCGCGAAAGGGCCCCGGTTAACTCTCCCGAGGGTTCCAGGTGCCAGGTGGCTGGGGTCCGCCCCGCTTTTGCCAACAGCTACAGGCGGTGGGAAGCCTTTCCACGATGGAGGCGGGCTATGCTCGCCAGGCAAGTGGCCTCACCATGCCAAGAGCTACGCCGATGGTGCCTCCTAGAATTGGCTACGAGCTAGACTGAAGGAGCTCGTTCTGCGAAGCTGGGGACGGAAGAGCAGCTAGAGAAGGAAGCTTACCGCATGGCAGCGAAGAGCGAGCTGGGCTGTACGGTAGCAAGCGACCCCGAGCAACAGGAACAGCTACGGAACCTTTGGAAAGACTGGCTAGAGGACCTCGCGGAGCCGGGGTTGCTAGACGTGGCCACGGGGCAACCGCTATACCTCAAGCTGCTCCGTGCCATGCTACGCGACTTCCTCCGACAGGCGGAGGAGGGGCTACCAGTGGGTATCCTGGACCTACTACCGCGCGGACTCCCCACGTCTTTGAAAAACAGCTAAAGTGGCCTCTGGATGGGAGGCTGCGCTAGCCTGGGTCCCGAACTATGGCTCTGCGAGGACCATATGGGGCTTCGCTAAGGCTTCCACGATGCTACGCATGGGGTTCGAGTGAACCACCGGATAAAGTGCTGGGACAAGATCCGATCCCCCGGCGCTAGAGAGAAGAAACACCTTCTGCGAGAGCACCTTCGGGCTGTCCTGCGCTAGCTGCTGGTGGACGAGACTTGCTGCCTGTGGGCTCACCTACCGCCTGCTAGGCCCGACGTCCCCTGCACATGCTAGACTTTGCGCTGATGCACGAGTCCCTGGGGCGTGGGGTACAGGGGAGGAAGGCTATTCCACGGCGCTAGGCTTCCCCCTCAAATGGGCTAAAACAAGGGGTGGTTTGGAAGGGCTAGGCATGGAGACCGAGTACCCGACTTGGAAGCTAGGGCTATCCCTGCAAAGGCTAGCCCCAACTAGCCCTTCGCCCAGCAAAGGCCGTCGTTGCGCTAGACTGGGAAGGCCTAGGATGGTTCAAGGTAACCTGGCCCCTTGACGCTATACCCACGATGCGACGCGTGCTCTGTGGATGGCTGGCAGACCGCTTGGAGGGAGGGGACCGGCTACAGAAGCCTGTTTCGCTGCTGGAAGGCAACTTCTTCACGGACGCTAAGGCCGAGGATGGCCGGGCCTGGATAGGATTCCTGGAGCTCGTGCCGGGGTGCCAAGGCCCCTGGTGCTCGCCAGAGGTCAGAAGTACAACGTGGCCCGCTCTTTTTGCGTCCCGAGAAGACCCCTGCAGCCTTCAACAACTCGGTGAAAACCCCAGCCGCCCTAGCCTCTCGCTTTCAGCGCAATCCTGCGAGCCGGGAGGGGCGCAGCAGGCTGCCTGCCACCTTCATGTTCTGGATCCGACGGTTCTGGGGCGGGGAGGCTGGGGGGAAGATTTTCTGGATCCGGAACGTGCGGGAAGCGACCGATCAGCGATCGCAATCGATTCGAGTCGCGTTTGTTCTTCTTTTCGCGCTGTGCCTGCCGAGCTCAACAGACACGTGTCCCCCACGTTTGTCCGAAATTCTGTAAAGCTTTCGTCTCCCCCCACCCCCGAGTTTTAATACCCCCTGGAACCCGAAACAATATGTAATTATTTGCCGACTAATGCATTCTGACTCCATTGGGGGGGGGGAGTGCGGGGGGGGGGGGGGG